CTTTTCTTACCTGTACAGGTGTTCTCTACATTTTTCTCACCTGTACAGCTGTTTCTCACCTGAAAACTAAGATGGTATGTCCTCATCTGTATTTAGCTTTTCTCACCTGTAAAGCTTTTCTCACCTGTAAAGCTGTTTCTCACGTGTAGAGTTCCCACTATGCAGGAGACAGACAGGTGTTCACGTTCCTCACAGGTGAGTCAAACCTGGGCAGGTGCGCAGCTGACATGACTGCAGGTGACCATCACACCTGGTACACACAAGCAAACAGTTATTCCTTTATGTATCTATTACAATTTTCTAGACACAAAATTACATGAGGGCCTGCATGGGCTATATGAATGATATGAATGAATGAATGAATTTTATTTAGGTGTCTTGTGACTTTTGTCGCCCAGCCCATATGGGCTTATAAGACACCAGAACATTAACATGAACATTTACGTACATATAGGTACAGAAATCATAGAAACATATATCCAAGTCCAAATCAAAGGTCAGACTATAGCCATAATTTGCCAGAGTTTGGCCGCCTAGGGCTTTAAATTTAAATGACTGAAAGAAAAGAACCAACCTTCCGCGGACAGACTGACCTTTTTTCCCGAATGCTACGATCCGTATTCCCGTAGAAAGGCCTGGTGGAGGCTACGTATTTACAGCAACCAGTGAACACAGATAATACTGTGTACAAGCCCTACTGGTTAGCCGAGCCGCTATGCTATGCCGTTACCATACCGCTATGCCGGGTATTTCTGGTCCCGTTATATTTTGCCCCACCTGTTCTCTGACTCACCGTGCATGCGTGGCGAAATACGTCACTCAGCAAACAAAACTGCCGGCAGATTTTTAAGGGTGAACAGCGGCGAAATTCCGCGGTACGGATGATTTTTTTTACCATGAAGAAACTCGCTACTTCACTGGAAATATAACGAGACAAATTTCTCTTTCCTGGTCCCCATTTCCGTGTATCTCCGGATCAAGGGTCAGACACACCGCATCGTATCGTAAAAAGTTCGCTCAATGTCAAACGAACTGTCGATAATAGATGATAGGTAAAAAAATTATAAAGGTTATGATTTAATATTTGTATTCCTTGTTTTAGTAGTTCTGGTCTATTTTTTTATACAAGCTATTTGTTATAACTTTTTATCTATTTTAAGCGTTTTGATGCGGTTTCAAGATGGCTGCCCCCATGAGACGATTTTTCTTTTTTAAATAAGTCCACCAAAAACCTCGGTTTTTGAACACTGACCGGCTTTACCTGAACCCCAAGTCGGCTCGCACCATGTCTGCTAGCTCGTTATTCAGGAACTGTCCTGGTTTTCAGGTAAAACTGTTGTTTATTGTGAGAGAGAGGGAGGAGAGAGGGAGAGGGGAGGGGGGCGTAACCTCAGTACCGAGACATTTCATATTCCTAATTCATTTATTTATAAATTTTATACAGGCTTTTCACATGCGCCATGTTGAGTTATAACTTATAGTTTATGTCTGATAAACATGCTGGCAATGAACGTTAATTAATTGAAAGACTCTTTTACAACTTGTTTTTTATACAATCATTAATCAATTTATATCATGTTTAGTTCTGATTTGATATTTCTAATTACGGATATATAGCGAGACTTGGATGTGTGCATTAGAATATCTACATCTACATCTATGTAAACATGATATCTGGTGAATGTTAGCTGCCAATTTTGTGCAAATTGTAAATAAAATTATGTCCATATCAACTGCATTGAACAAAACGTCATAAAAATATATGCTACAAAATAAGAGCGACACCCCAAATCCAAACCAAAAACCCCTACCCCTCACCGTGCCGGAGCCCTCAACTTATTGAGGTTGTGCACGTACGGGAAAGAAGACAAAGGACTGAGCACCTCAATATTCTTCCTTTCACCCCCAGGTTCTAAAACAGTCATCGCAGCTGTGGAGGAAATTTCCCAGCTGCCCTCATGTCGGCACCAGCAGACGCCACAGTTCAAGAACAAGAAGGTTTTTCCCAAGGAGCCTCTTCTGTCTCCCTCCCTGCCGACAAGGCACAGACTGTCACACCTGTAACAGGAGACTTCGGCAGTCTGTCAGACTACTCAGCATTTCCTCAAGAAACGGGACCTTCCTCCTAAGGACTGCTCCCTGCCTGAAATGTAGGAATGTGTCTGTTCTGGTGTGTAGCAGGCAGATGTCTACAGAAGCATCTGCAGTACAGGTGTCTACAGAAACAACTGCAGCTGCTGCACTGGAACAGGTGTCTACATCTGCAGTGGAGCAGGTGTCTATAGAAACAACTGCAGTGGAACAGGTGTCTACAGCTGCAGCAGCTGCAGTACAGGTGTCTCCAGCTGCGTCTGCCCCGTCAGGCCTGTACGCTGACCTGTTCGGCCCTGACTCGCCGCCGGTCCAGGCGGCCATGACACTCCTACAGTCAGCACACCTCCAGACCGGGCTGCCGTGGTGGGCAACCATCGTCATGACAACGGCCGTACTGCGGCTGGGCCTGACCTTCCCGCTGGCTGTATACCAGGCGCAGGTGAGGATGATGATCTGTATCTGTTTAAAGTTCGACTTTAGGTCCAACACAAAGAAGTTCTCTCACCTAGAGCTTTCTACCAGTCACTCTGGTCACTCACAATGTGACAAGCTTCACTGGGTCAGTCTACTGAGGAAGACCAGAGTGACTGGTCGAAAGCTCTAGGTGAGAGAACGTTTTGTGTTGGATCTAAAAAGTTTTAATACTTAACAGAACTTTCATGGTAATTGATATGTATGTCTTGTGTTAAGACCCAATAAACCAGTCTGTTACTACTACAGGTGATTGCGCGCGTTGAGCTCCTTGCACCTGAGCTCGGCCGGTTCGCTGCCGCGCTGCGACGTCAGGTGTCTGTTGCCGGGCAACAGCGAGGCTGGACCGAGAAGCAGATGAGGAGGAAGTTCAATCTCAAGGTCAGTGGCAGAAGAGGTCAAGGTCAAACTTTGTCTCAGCATTGATCAAAAAATTTTTTCCAGCATGATTTTTACAACAATTTTCTTATGTTCTCACAACATTGTCATTGTATTTTGCTTCAAGTTTAGCCAACGTCTGATATGTGGAATTGCACATTGCTTATGTCTATAGCTTAATTTTACCTCCAGGATATAGGAGTTTTACTTTACACAGCCAAACTGAATAATATCTCCTATCTTGCTTACAGTCAGACGCTTTGAGGAAGGTGTCTGATTGACACCAAAATGTACGCAAGGTAGGAGACAATATTGGCTGTGTAAAAGGAAACGCCTATATCCTATTCTCTACCAGCCCGATAAGTCTGTATGAAATACGCAATTCAGCCATACTTGGCTGTGATGTATTTTATTTAATAAATTCATTCATTTTGTTAATGTTATGTTTTGTAGATGCGGGAGTTCCGTACATCCCTGTATATCCGAGACAACTGCCACCCGTTCAAGGGCAGCCTTCTGGTCTGGGTCCAACTTCCGCTGTTCGTGTGTGTGTCCTTCGCTCTGCGGCACCTGACAGGGACCTTCCAGGGGGGACAGGGGGCAGGTAAGGGGTGTGTGTGTGTGTGTGTGGAGGGGGGTCACAAAGTAGGCCAGAGGCAACTTGACATAACTGGGAAGTTGAATTCTGGCTGGTTTAAAAATACCCACCTTTATTACACAGTCTGTGTGGTGTAGTGGATAGAGCATCCGGCTGTCAAGCAAGGAGACCCAGGTTCAATCCCCAGGGTTGGACCCAGACATGTCCGGACATGCACCCAGACGTTGTGCCCTTGGGAAAGGCACTTAACACGTACTTCCTTCCTCAGTTAGATGGCTCCTGGGCCCTACTAGGGTTTGGGTTGGCATTAGGAAGGGCATCCAGCCGTAAAAATCTTGCTTCAACAAAAAGATTTTCACTTAAAGCATTTGCCAGGGACAACTGACCCCCAGTTAAGGGGAAAAATAATGTTTGTGTGTGTGTGTATGTGTGTGTGTGTGTGTATGTGTGTGTCAAAATCTTACTTTCCTTCCTTTGTTTCTTCCCCTGTAGCCACCCTGCAGCCTGACATGGTATCCCAGGGTGCCCTGTGGTTCACTGACCTGACGGCCGCTGACCCCACACTGCTGCTGCCTGTGCTGCTGGGGACTCTCAACCTCGTCATTGTGGAGGTGAGCACATACGGATGGACACACATACACACACAGAGGCAGACACACACACACACCCACCCACACACACACACACACCCACACACACACCCACACACACACACACACACACACACACACACAGACGGACAGACTGACCCCACATTGCTGCTGCCTGTGCTGCTGGGGACTCTCAACCTCGTCATTGTGGAGGTGAGCACATACGGACGGACAGACACACACACACACACACACACACACACTCACACACACACACACACACACACACACAACGTCACAAGCACACACACACACACACACACACACATACACACAGACACACACACACACACACACACGCATGTACACACACAGACACACAAATGCACACAAACATACACACACACACGCATGTACACACACACACACACAGGCCTTGCCTTGAGCTGACCATATGTACATGTGCCCTGACTGTTTCTCTGTCCGTCCCAGATGCACAGCCTGCAGCAGGCAGAGAAGACACGGGCACACACACACACGCGCGCGCGCACACACAGACACACACACACACACACACTGTGCCCTGAGCTGCATATGTGCCTTGACTGTTAACTGTTTCTCCCTCCCCCCCAGATGCACAGCCTGCAGCAGGCAGAGAAGACACACACACACACGTACCCTGTACTGACTGTACATGTGCCCTGTACTGACTGTACATGTGCCCCCCCAGATGCACAGCCTGCAGCAGGTAGAGAAGACACACACACATGTGCCCTGTACTGACTGTACATGTGCCCTGTACTGACTGTACATGTGCCCTGTACTGACTGTACATGTGCCCTGTACTGACTGTACATACATGTGCCCTGTACTGACTGTACATGTGCCCTGTACTGACTGTACATGTGCCCTGTACTGACTGTACATGTGCCCCCCCAGATGCAAAGCCTGCAGCAGGCAGAGAAGACACACACACACATGTGCCCTGTACTGACTGTACATGTGCCCTGTACTGACTGTACATGTGCCCTGTACTGACTACGTACATGTACATGTGCCCCCCCAGATGCACAGCCTGCAGCAGGTAGAGAAGACACGCACGCAGGCCGTCCTCACCAACTTCTTCAGGGGCATCTCTGTTCTCATGGTGATGGTGGCAGCCTACATGCCAGCGGTACGAAGTCATCTTTTATCTGAATTTATCTGAACTGCAGAGACACATCTATTTTTTCATTGTGTTTTTATGTTTTTGAGTATAAGCAACTTGTGCTTTTTGCCCAATACTCAATAAATATTTGTGAATAAAAAAAAACTTTATCTTCCATTCCTGCAGGCCATGACCCTCTACTGGACGTCGTCCTCAGCCGTCGGACTGGCCCAGAACATCCTCCTCAAGTTGCCACGGTTACGGCAAGCCTGCCGCATTCCCCCCACCCCCCGGGACTCGCCCACTCCCTTCCGGGACATGGCGGCCACCCTGGGGCAGAAACTCCGAGCGGGGAAGGAAAAAACAGCCGCAAAGTCCTGACAACAGAGATGATAATAATAACTAGAAAGGTAACATTTGCAAAGCAGATACATAATGTTTACATTCGCATATGGTCTGCTCTGTTTATTCTTACTCAAGTGCATTCATATATATGGTCAGACATGAGTCTAAATCTCTCCTGCTATAAAATTGCAACATGATGTAACACAACACTAGTTACCATGGTAACAATCTAACAGACACAACATTATTTCAGGTCAGAGGTCACTGGAGAAGAAGAAGAGGAAGAAGAAACTGAGCAAAAACAATATGTTTTCCTTCTGTAAACATAATAAAAGGGTTTATTGGTCAAACATTACCTGTGCAATCTCAGCCTTTTATTTTTATAGTGCTGAATTGATGCAGGGTTTATAATCACATTATGCATATAACACATATATTTGCTACACTCATTTTTGTGTATAACTGTCGCAAGGGTCTGTGCGGTTGGCTTTTGGCACCACAAGGTGACCTCAATATGACTTTCCCCAACCGAAGTTAGGTACCCATTCACACCTGGGTGGAGTGAGGAAGGTTGTGTAAAGTGCCTTTCCCAAGGGCACAACGTCGGGGTGCATGTCCAGACATGTACCGGGTACGTATACGACTCGGAATCGAACCCGGGTCTCCCCATTTCATAGTCGAAAGCTCTATCACTACACCACCTGACACCACAGATCAGCAATAGTTCATCCTACTTGGAGTCTGCTGGGGAAAAAACAAAACAACTGCCTAGAAACACTTTGTGAAGGACTTTTGCTACTGGGGATTACTATACTATGGCAATCACTCGAGATCTTTATTTGCAATCAGATTCATATACAAATTCATGCACAGATACAGATTCATGTACAGATACAGATTTTCCGAGTATGATACCGTGTCAGTCCCTACACCTGAGTGTGGGTCACAGTTGACACGGTGGCCTTCGCGTGGATTTGCTTAAGGTGGATAACAGGTTTCAAATCTGAGACCCAGACTCACTGGGTATTAAAGCAATCAATAAAACGCTGCCTGTACAATTTGTGCCTGTACAATCTTCATAAACCTGTTTATTACACTGATGTAGTAGAGGTTTTGAAATTACCGTAA